CGAATTAATTTTATTCGATTCGATTCGATTCCAATTCTATTTTAAATTTGAATCGAATCGAATCGTTAGGATCTTTAGAATCGGGGGAAGCACCAAACTTGACAATGATCATCGTAACACTGCCGGACGATCATTACGCCACTACGCCTTTTCTTGGTATCACAATCCCAACGCCCGTTGAATCAACGTGTGAATTGGCTTCTTATGGAAAACAGCACGTGTTAGATTATGGTGCCAGATATCATATTGAGGTGGTCCAATTGCCTTCACCAGGAACTGAACTTGGTATCTTGTGACGGCGATCAGGAGATGCCGATTCATTTCTTCCGGTTTGAGGTTTCCACGTTAGCCCTCTGGAGGATTTGAACCATTATCTTGAGATCTGATCTGTGGAGCACTAACCACTGTGCTATAGACCCACAGGTCTATTATTAACTTTTATTTCTATTTTATCATTTTTTTAAAATTTAATTGTAAATATATTTGATTATATTTTAAATCATTTCTTATATAAAAATTATATTGTTTTGATTTAATTTATAATATTCTAAAAATTTTATATTTATTTATTTACTATTTAAAATAAAGTTTCAAACCAATATCAAAATAGTATTAATCTATAATAAATTTAATATAAAAATTATAAACCATTATAGTAAACTTATAATAAATTTAATATTAACTTGATATCAAATAATATTATAAAAACTTTAATAGAGATTTTATTTATTTTTATTTTTAAGGTATAAATATGGATCAGCAAGATTTTTATTGATAAGTACCTTATACTAATTACAATTGCAATGTTAGAACTTATACAAGTCAATACATTATATACTCTATGCAGATTATCCCTCACACTCCACCTTACATCTAGCACTCAGGAACCTATTGTCTTGAACAATTTCTTACATAACACTAGGCAGGAACTTATAAAAATATAGAAATCCTATTACTAGTTTAAACTATCTAACTTATATGGTTCAGCTTTATCCAGAGGTGACTTGATTAAGGAGATTAATCCAAATGCCTCTTCACATTATTGCTAGATCTCAGATTATATTTCCACTGGCTTATGACATCTTCTGTGAAATTGTAATTCTTCTTACCAACTGCGGCTAGTTATTTTTCAACCCAATTAGGCTCTGTACCAGATTGGGATATTCTAGCTAAGGTTCTAACCACCATTGAAAGAAGAGGATCAGGGATTTGATTAGGATGGAGTATAGCCCAGTCTGTATACCCAAATACAAAAGAAGTCTTGATTAAGGAAGTTAAACACATACCTCTTGGCTTACCATATTGTTCAACTACCATTAATATGCTTCTGGCAATTATTGTAACACCATCTAGATAATCGTATGACACAACATCTTTTTTAAAGATCTCAATCTCAATGTCTACTGGATCAGCATATGAAATGGCTTCTCATAAGAAACAACATATATACAGTTAATCTCGTTAAACTGAAGGCATTTGTTTTACACTTTTTCTTCAGATTAGTGGGATCTTCAGATAAGTAGAAGTCACATAACTTTCATGATCTCATTTGTATTTGGGGTAAAAATGATTTATTTGAGAATATCTGCAAATGTAATTAATTAGGTGGCATAAGGTATTTTGTAGAAGATGCCAATGCATGGTACTGTGATAATGTAATTACCCTAAAATACATACTGAAAGATCAGGATCAAAGCTTTATCTATGGCTTTAAGGAATTCTCCACTAAAGAATAAAAAGACCAGTGGTGTGCAGAACTTACTGTTTTGAAGAAAGATGATAAAAAATTGAAAGCATATATAGATTCTAAAGACTATTAAGGAAAGCAGATCTCAAAAATGAGCTATCATGAAATTACATAATACGACTAAAGGGAAGATAACACACTGCTGACTACAATTAGCTTGACAAATCTGGAAATATGCTTAAAGCATACCTAGACAACTTAACAAACTTGGAATTTGCTTGTATAGAACTTTAACATCATTGGATAAATTCTCAGTTGTCACCACATACACTGGCTGGTTTGATCATTTCCATTCTTGCCATCCTCAATTGATACTATACGAACCACTTGATCTGAAGTTTCCTTAGCTTTAACATCATCAGAAAATCCCTTAGTCTGTGCCAAAGAATGCTACCCAATTTGACCTCTCTTTTGTTTCTCTCATCTTCTTCATTCTAATTATCAGAATCACTTCACTTGGTTGATACCATATGAACCACTTGATCTAAAATTTCTCTGGATTTAACATCATCAGAAAATTTCTTAATTTGAGTCAGATACACTACCCAATTAAACTCCTCTTTGTTCATCTCACCTTCTTTATTCGAATTATCAGAATTACTTTACTTTAATTGATACTATACAAATCACTTGATCTGAAGTTTTCCTGGCTTTAGCATTATTGGAAAATTTCTCAGTCTGAGTTAGGTACACTACCCAATTTGACGTCTCTTTGTTTCTCTCATTTTCTTTATTCAAATCATCAGAATCACGCTCACTGACATCTTTATTGTTTCAAACTTTCTTATTGTAGCTTAATTATTATATTTCGCCAATTGTTATTTCTATATGAAAAAATTCTGTTATTTCTTTAGACTTTAATCACCCTTTCAATGGCAGTTCTGATTTTAATAAATAAGATATAAAAAATTATCAATTAGTAATAAACTTTAGAAAAACAAGCAGCAGGATAAAGGAATATAGTTATCAAAACCTGAATTACATTGGATATATAAGTTAGTATCTGGGAATGAGAAATCATTAGAACTGTGTTATTTCACAAATTGGTGATAGTTATCATGATAATAAGTTGAACAACAAAACACTATGAAAAATGCAACAAGTATAAATCGAAACATTGTTCAAATTATTATTTTGACATATGGACTTGAGAAGTAGTTCTGAAATCACGAAAATAGAAGTTAATGTAGAAATCACTGAGATCATGGTTATGCCTAATTGTTGAAGTATTATAACAAATAAAAAAATCGTAATGATATCTTGATTGGCAAAATTTTAGTAAAGCATATGAGAGATAAGTCTTGGAGATATACATTTACCTTGATTCTGATGGCATTTGTCGAAATTTTGATTGATAGCAATATGAAATTAGCATAGGTCTTAAATCGGATATGAAAAGTTTGATTGAATATCAAATTCCAATAAAAAAGGAATTAGCGATGGCATGGCAGAAACCTGGAAAAATAATTATAGAGGAAATAACAATGCAACATATATAGGCAATGTAAGGAAATCTATTTGTAGGAGAACTTGAAAAAAATGGGTGTCACGTATTCAATTAGAGAGTAGAACACAAAAGTCATGTACTTATGCTGTGATCTGGTTTCCAATAGTATGAATATCTTGATAAATAAATATTGTTAATTAAAAAAAACACATTCAAATTAATATTAATTTACATTTTTACTTCCAAATTAACTTTCTATTTATTTGAAGTCACATTGTGACGTTTATTTGTAAAATCATTTAAGACTACTTGAGAAATTATTATTTGTGAATAAAACAATATGAATTAATTAGTAATAAAAAAACCACTAATTTCTATTTTTTTTTTTTTTTTCAGGTGAAAGATGCTTTGTACATATGCATTTTATTGAGTAGTTTATATCCAATTACAGATACACTAAGGTCCATTTAAGTTAACCTTACTTCTACATCTATAGACTTACCCAGTTATACCAATTGAACACCTTGAAGGTGGATCCGTACCCTAGGTAGGATCTTTAGGGGATAGAAAATCCTACCACTAGTTTATAAACTATCTAACCTAATCTAGATCCTGTCTCGACTGCAT